ATTGCCTTTAATCTCCCTCAGAATACGTCCTCTCACTTTAAAAACACTTACCCCATCATTCCTGCTACTTCCTGAAGCAGTTCTGAGAGCCTTCTTTCCTGTCTTTACCAGACATGATCAAAAATATGGTAAATGCTGCTGTAGAGCGCCATCCAATGGGAAAGGTAGGTTCGTAAAAACATACAACATGTCCCTGTCCACCTCGTTCAGTAAACTTAGCACTGGCTAAATTTTGACTTCTGGCTCTTCCCCAAAGTCAAAATGACCTTGAAAGGTAAATGCTTTGCACTGACTCAGGACATCCAAGTAACCACAGGAAGCACAATTAAAGACACAACAAAGGACTTCCAGAACTGCTTCAGAGACTGGGAAGAACAATGGGAGTAGTGTGTCCAAAGCAAGGGCAATTATTTGCATGGGTACTAATGTTAACATGTCTTTTACTATAATCATTTTTAATTAAATATTCACTGTCATTTTGATCATACTGCATACTTAACCAACTAGAAGTATTCAGGTTTGAACTTGCAGCAGAAAGTAAAATTTATATATTTTCCATTCAAGTACTTGTTCTTCTATACTGCTATGAAGAGACCACCCTAACTAGAACGCATTTAGTTCTTATGAAAAAACAAGTATTTCTTACTAAAGTGACGAGCCTGAGCCAGCGGCTCTGTTTGATTATTGCTGCCGGCCAGCGTTTCCCTAAAGGGCTCATGACTCTGGAAATAGTTGAACATAAATAGGAAAGAGCCTTGGCAATGATTTTGGAATTGTTTTCCAGATTTTCCGCTTTCTAACTCATTTATGAAGTGTTCTTGCCAAAAACTGTTTAATTTGAATCTAATCAAGCCTGAAGACATAACCTTCCATCTACAGCAAACACAGTGGATAGACTCGGAACTACAGAATGAGAAAGCAGTCAGACAAACCAGGATACGGGATATTGTACACTGTCCTCTGCTGAAAAAAACACGGTATCATGAAAAAATGGTGGGGGAACTACTCTAGAAGAAAAGATTCATAAGAGAATCTAAAGAGACACAATAATCACTAGTAGTGGCTTTGCCTCGATCTTGTCCTGGTTCAACAAAAAAGAGGATAATGAAGAATAGGGAAAAAAAAATTGCTGTAACTTTTTAGGGACAACACACTGGATCTAAACTAGATCCTTTGAATACAAATGTTAACATCCAAAATTTTAAATATTTAGTGTAACCCACCCAGTAGGGGTCAGGAGTTTGGATCTGAACATTAACCCAGACTTCCCTCTGGTCTACTACTATTGCAAAATCCCCTGTTGTATGAACTAAGCCCTTGAGTTCACCCCATTTCTTGATCAAATCCAGAATTTATCGTGACTGTAGGAATTATATCTAAATCTTGAATCTCAAGGCTTTATTTTCTTCAACTAGATGCTCTATGTCAGACTGCGGTTTTAAATAACTTTACCAAGACCTCTTCACATCTAAAGCAATGACTCTGGACACAGACCTGCATCTAGGTATCTACTGTCAGTCCCCGGCAGTCTCTTCTAGAGCCTATTCCAGGACAGGACTGGTCCAGTCCAGTGGCTGAACCAACGTTCTAGCACAAAGTCTATAAATATTGGAAAATTTTGCCATCACAGCTCATCATCCTTGGAAAAAATAAAGCATTTCACAAAAGGACTTATATTTCCAGAAACACAGAAGTAATTTAAAAACAGAAACACAGCTGTGGTAAGCTTCAGTGGTACAGCTTAAGCCCTAGGTTCCATCTCCAGCACAACAAAAATAGAAACAAATGTTTTAAATACAAAATTTTATACTTTTTAATTTAAACATGATTATAACCAGGCATGCTGGCACACACCTGTAATCCCAGTACTCAAAAGGCTGAGGCAGGAGGATCACTACGCAATCGAGGCCAGCCTGGTCTACAAAGTGAGCGCAAGGCCAGCCTGCACTGTATAGTGAAACCCTGTCTCAAAAAGACAAAAAAAAAAATTATAAAAGAAAATATACAGGGGCTGGGGATTTAGCTCAGTGGCACCGCGCCTGCCTGGCAAGTGCAAGGTCATGAGTTCAATTCACGGTACCAGAAGAAAAACCAAAAAATAAAAAGAAAGAAAGAAAGAAAGAAAAAAAGAAAGAAAGAAAGAAAGAAAGAAAGAAAGAAAGAAAGAAAGAAAGAAAGAAAATACACATATACCTCATGTATTATATAAGAACTTATTTAGAAAATAACTATATTTTATTGAGAAATCAAATTTTTGAGAACAGGAAAGTGCTATCATTAATACCTTTAGAAAGACAAATGTACATAAGCTTGTACTATAATGCAATGAAATTATTCAGCCAAATAATTTGCAGCTTATAACCAATTAAATCATGTCTTCAGACTGTCACTGCCATTCTACTTTAACAGTGTTTCACTTAGATCAAAAGCAACAAAATATCATTATTATCTATGATAACTTTTTATGATATAATCATGAGGTATAAGAACTTAAGTAAAATATTTGTAATATCAGAATTAGATTTTATGTCAAAACTTACTTTTAAGGAAAACCAAACTATTCCATTAAAAATAGATACCAAAGACTTAAAAGTATGTATTTCCTTTTCTTATTAGCCATTCTCTAGCAAATATGAAAGTAGTATGAAATACACAGCACAAAGGGCTGGAGATTTAGCTCCAGCACCTGCCTGGCAAGCGCAAGGTCATGAGTTTGATTCCTGGTAAGGAAAAAAAAAAAACAAACGAAATACATAGCACAGCTGGATTACAATACAACTGGATTAAATCATTACTTGCTCTGGGTGAAGTTAGATATGGATGTTAACACTGTAATTTAACTAACCTGAGAATGCTAGGTAGGTATGAAATAATGAACTTAATAAAATATATTATTTTGACAGATTAAGAGGTAATACTTAATGTACAAAAACTGTTATATTGTAATCCATCTAGCTATGTATTTCATACTACTTTCCTATTTGCTAGAGAATGGCTAGTAAGAAAAGAAAATACAAACTTTTAAGTTTCTGGTCTCTATTTTTAATGGAATAGTTTATTTTTCATGATTTAACGAAGGATCCCTTTTATAAAAAGCTAAATATTGAAAGAAGATGAGAATGAAAGTTCTTAAAAGAATGTCAACTAGACTACAAGCACTTTGAATGCCTAGAAAATATTGTTTTGAATCTCAATAACTTAAATATAACATGTTCTTAGTAAATATAACATGTTCTTGATCATGTAAGGCATTCTTTTTTATTTATTTATTTATTTATTTATTTTTGAGACAGGGTTTTACTATGCAGTTCAGACTGACTTTGAACTCACTATGGAGCCCAGGCTGGCCTCAAACTCATGGAGACCCTCCTGCCTCAGCCTCCCGAGTGCTGGGATTACTGGCACATGCCAAAGTATTCTTAAAAATAACGAAATAATAAAAGTGAAGTACATGACATAGGGAAACCAATGAAATATTCACACAATAATACGACTTAAAAACTCCAAAGCCTGTAGTCTTTACATTCTTCTACTTTTGCCTTTTCTTCACTAACTAAGTTACATAATTTAATTATACAAGGATTTTAAAAAACTGAAGTTGGTGCAAAGCTCAGTGGTAGATCACTTTCTCAGCACACACATGGCTCTAGATTCCACTGCCAGTACCATAAAAGAAGATTTATCTACATTACTAAGGAAATCATAACCTCAAAATATTGGTTGATGTCCATGAAAATAAGTTTAGTAAAATTAAAATTGTGACCATGGATCCTTGTACCCTAAAAATACATTAGAAATACCAGAAGCAGAAACACAAACGGGGTGGGGGGGGGAGCAACAGGGAGGGGGAAGAGCAAGAGGGGGAAAGAAGCCGGAGGAAGGGAAAAAGGGGAAAGGGGACGGGGCACAGGGAAAGCCGCTGTAAGTCGGTATCGCTTCCATCTACTGGACTAACAGCAGTGCTTTTATAGCGCAAGACACAGCCAAATAAAAGGATCATTCCTTCTTTTAATCCAACAAAATGACAAGAGATTACATCACAAATAAGAAAACGTGTTAGTAAAAAGAGAGAAGATAAAGAACCAAAGGAAAGCAGAGCTTTAATGACACTTTTATTCAGCTAGGAAGAAAATGTTTAAACAAAAAAACCATCTTACGATTTTTAAAACTCTGAATTGAAGATTAATTCAACACATTTAGTCAGAATGAAAATACTGCTCAATGATAGCAACAGTAAAGCTTCTGACCATAATCTGTAATTCCTATAAAATCTAACATTTAAAAAATTCTTAGGTATAAAATTACATAAAGTACATAAGAAACTACAATTGTAGGGGCTGGGGATTTAGCTCAGCGGCAAAGCGCCTGCCTGGCAAGCGCAAGGTCGTGAGTTCGGTTCCCGGTACCGGAGAAAAACAAAAAAAAAAAAAAAAAAAAAGAAACTACAATTGTAAATCTGTGTAAAATATAAATAACATACTTTTCTTTGCACTTCTGAGACTTCTTATGAAAATTTAAGGTAATAAAGACATATAAAGTTAAGCTATAAAGGCAACACAATGTTCTAAAATGTATTCTAAATATCACAGGTAAAAATGTCTAAATGGATAGGACATCACTTTTTTTTAAGTACTCTGTAATTAAATAAGTAAGTCTAAAGCTAGGAAGAAATTTTTATACATTCTTTGCATTCTGCTCCAAAGCTACATAATATGATTTAGTATAAACTATTCAAAACTACTAATCAGCCAGGCACGATAGCACACGCCTATAACCCAAGCACTTGGGAGGCTGAGGCAGGAGGACAGCCTCAAACTCAAGGCCTGCCTGGGCCTGACTATGCAAAAAAAATCCTACTAATCATTTAAAATACAAAAAAATCAGACTGACGACTGGTCTAGTTCATTCTGAGAATTTTAACATTATTCTACTGTTTATATAGACAACTTTCAAGTAGCAAGAATAAAAATCATAAACATTTTGCATCATTTTTTGCATACCTTTAGCTAAAGCTTCTTTGTATTTCTCTTTAGCAGAATTCATTTCTTTTATTAACTGTCGATAGCTAGATTTTAATTTCTCCAATTCTGTTTTTGTAACCTGTCAAAAAAACAAAATGCATAAAGTTTGTTAGATTTTTAAATTTAAACTGATCAAGAACTAAATTCCAAAGCATTAACTAACATGTATTTTACTTACTGGTCAGAGTTGCTGTTTAATATATAATAATAGACAATAAAGTAAAAATTTGCTTAAAACCAGCAATAAATTTAATAGCACATAAAAACAAATAAACCAAGAAAAAATACTATAATCATCCAAAAGTTAAAGACTACCATGGGAATTATGTCTCTCAGGAGGAAATGAGGCAGGATATTAGGACCAAAAACAGCCAAATAACTAGGCAAAAGCTGTCCAAGTTATGGGCACCCAACGCACAAGCACAAACACAGAATCCAGGGTGACTGTACCTCCTATGCGCTGTACTTGAAACCAATCAGAAAAGTGTTATTTAAAATTCTTCCTTTCTCTGGATAAAAAAGTTGTGGTATTTTTATAAAATGGAGCATTAATTACTCAGCTATTAAAAAAGATAAACTTGAGGCTTTTGTAGGTAAATGCATCCAACTAGAGACCATACTCACAAGTGAAATAAATTGGACCCACATGTGTAAACATCATATTGTCTCCTTGGTGTAGGAACCTGAAAGACTAAGTAAAACTCAAAATGTACAATAGATGATAGGA